TTTCACACGCATCGCATGCATTTAACATGACGGCACGACCTTAGATTGTTTATCGTAACGCATGAACTTGGATTGTTTAAACTGTAACGCACACCTTGGATTTAATGGCCACGTTAAGAAACGAGTGATGCGAGGGGAATATCACATGGGTGATACTTACGCCGTGGCAAATATCACTTGGAAGGAGCTCTCTTGGAAATCGATCTTGACGACATCCTTTCTCGTCCTTTTCACGTAGACGTTCACTACCATAAAGCCGGCCTGCGAAGTAAAAATAATCGCGATTGAGTTTGCGAGTGAGCACCTTTGATGTTCTATCAACCTTTTTCAGTTTTTAACAGCTCACCGTATTCTCAAGCATAAACTAACACTTACCTTCTCATACCAATTATGTTTTGCGAGGGAAATAGCGTAGGTTCCTGCAAGAAAAAATGGAAATGGAGTGAACTCAATAATTGTGAAATAATTTGCGTTTGCACATAACATACGACGAATGTGTTTACCGCCCGACAGGCCAAATGTTCGACAAACATTTACTGGCTCAGACAAATTCATGTTGTATCTAAGCTACAAGTCACAATCTCCTGAATTTTTACTCACTGGGTGGTTTATCTGTAGCCTCACTTTCTTTCTCCTTTTCTGCTTCCATGACAGGCAGTTTCTCCTGGTTAACATAAAGTTACATAACCCATTTATCTCAGCAAGGTCAATAATACTACCTATTATAGATATATTATGATATATTTTCGCATTTGTCACCCATGCAAGATCACCAATTCTAAGCAGACTGAACCAACTAGATGCAACCAAATAATGACTCTATAATTAAATCAATAATACAATGTATTAATTGCTGAGCAAGTCCATAAGTAACAAGATTATGTACGAATGTTCTGCGGAACAGGATTGCAAATGTAATTAGTTACAGTCACAGGACTATCCTCATAGTTCTCATTTAATTAAGGCCAAAACAAAAATATAGGTGTACACCACGTGTAGTAACCACGTGGTTACGGTTTCCCGACTGATCGTATTTATTCCCAGCGACCCTAAACATTTTATTGTCAATTTTCTTTAGTCAAAAAAAAAATTAATAAAAATATCAAAAGGCACAACACACATCCTTCGGACATGGTTCGTAAATAAAATATTTCAAGAAAATAAAATGTTTCCCCTACCTACCTACCCTATTTTTTTCGACATGTAACGGTAACCACACATATATTTTGTTTTGGCCCAAGCAATGCAACAAACGATCGTGTCTACCTGTAACTGTTGCCAGTGTACATTCGGTTCAAACTTGACAAGAGTTAATCTCACAGTGGATCCTTCATGTTGTACGGTGCTGCCCTCTTCCTGTATAGGAGCAAACAAATCACATCTCCACTTGCGACCATCTGTAAAAAGAGCAAAATAATTCAGTGTACTCAAAATACAACCTCTTTCATAGGCCTATATTTGTTTTATCGACAGGGATTTGAACAGGGGAAAATATTAAATAAGTATAGTGATGATAAAACACACGTTCAAGCAAATTGTGAACGAATGGTCAAAATTGCAAATAGTGATGGCAGTTTCTTTACGTTTTCCAAACTATATTCATCAATTCACAGGGGTTATTTATGCTAAACGCAGCATTTGGGGGACATTTTCAAGGTGATTAAGAAATAGTTGTGTGTGAAAGCCAACATTTATGACAGCTTTTCATCAGGGTAATGCAGTTTTAAAAATGTATTGCTTAATTCACGGCTACCTTTTAATTTGACGTGACACAGGTTGGTTTCGATGATGACATCAACATCTTCGCTCGCCACACCAGCCCCAACGTCAATATTCACTTTCACGTGACGCTCATCTTGGGTCCAGCCGCAAACTTCTAGTAACCCTAGAAAATTGGTAACTGTGAATGACGCCTATGGCTATGATATGAGTGTTTTTAAACCTGAAACGGCGTCTGGAAACACTTTATTTATCAAGTCGCTTTCTAAATATGCATTATTTTGTAGCTGCAGCATGATCACGTTTACACAGTGAACAAATCTCACGAGTCACAAGATGAATTGTGTGTTAGTGTCGCTCATAGGGTCTATGTCCCCCAGGGTACTGCCGGAACGTACCCTGGGTACGGTCCGGTATACCGGAACGTACCCTGGTAACTGTCTGATATCATATGATATGGGTTAGGGTTAGGATTAGGGTTAGGGAGTAGGCGTAGGCAGCTCCCTAGACTCGTTAATGGAGTAGGCGATGTATGGTCCGGCATATTACATATTAGATAGTACCAGGGTACGTTCCGGCAGTACCCTGGGGAACATAGACCCTCTCAGCGTTAGTGTCAAGGCCGAGTCACACCACACGTCACGTGGTCTCTTTCATCGCAAACAATTCACAATTTGTTGTGGTGCATGGTGCCGTGGTGGTAATAGTGCTAATACTAATAGTATTAGTAATACTAATAATACTAGTAAGGTAGGGGGCCTACTACTAATACTAATAGTAGTAATACTATTACGGTACAAATTAATTTACCTTCTTTCTCGCTTTCATCATCTGTATTTCTGCTAAGTTTGGGGGATTTTTCCGATTCAGTTTCTAAACTGGCCTTCTCCATGGTTCTTTTCCTACACTCTTCGGAACAGGCCAGTTTGTCGACGTTTAACTGCAGTATTTTGGCTGATTTTAATGAAAACGCGTAAGAAAGATATTATTATAATGCGAAGATGTTATAGCCTATAAAATTTTGCAGGTATTGTAAGACATTATTAGGTATTTCTGAAACTTTCATATAATCTTGTAAATCTTCTGTCATTGTCACCCATTATAGGTTGTGCCGGTAATTCGACAAATAGAAACGTTGGTTACAAAATTGTCTTGGAACTACCCAATCATAGCTCCTCACATATATCGACTAACGTGTCCTCTTGCGGTAACATGGCAAAAGGCGGTTAGTTGACGAGGTTCCCGCCGATTTCGCGTGAAATCTCGTGTGAAATCTCGAATGGTAAATAAAATAGAACAGCTGTATTGGAAAGGCAAAAGTTGACGAGGTTCCCGCCGATTTCGCGTGAAATCTCGTGTGAAATCTCGAATGGTAAATAAAATAGAACAGCTGTATTGGAAAGCGGTCTGGCGTGCAGCAAGCGTGGAGCAAGCGTGTATTATACTGAACAAAACGCAAAGATTTCGCAATAGTTCTCAAAGATTTCTCATAGTTTAGTTAATTTAATTTAGGAAAAAAGCGTGACTTAGGGCGTATTAAAAGCGTAATTTAGGAAAAAAGCCATGGCACCAAGGACGAACATGAACATGGTGCGACCATAGATAGAACAAGAATTAGCAAACTTGCTAACAAAACAAATTAGCACTGTAGGCCTATAAAGTATAATAATATAGTGTAGTCTGTAGAGTGAAGTGAGTGCATGGAGTTGGTGTAATGCTTATGCTGTGAATAATAATACTAATACTAATAGTAGGTAATACTAATAGTAATAGTAATACTAGTACTAGTACTACTAGGCCTACAGTCTAAACTAGTTACTAATACTATAGTATAAGTATAAAAGTATGAGTATGATTATTATAATATTAATGTTAAATAGTTCGTCTATATAATTATCATTAAATGACAATATGCCATTCGAGTTATACTCTATTTCACTGCATATATATATGTGCATTGGACTAGTGTCTGAATTTCGTCAGTTCTCTCACTATCATTATCAACCTGTCTGGGATTGGTGGCCAAGCTCTGGGTCCTAGCTCTTTTATACTAATTACTATAGCCCTTTGCTGCTGACAGAGCGGAGAAAAGCTCTGCCATGTTAGAAATTGCCAGATAGGGCCTCTACGGCTTCCCATACTTAGGGTATCTACGGCTTCCCATAGCTTAGGGCCTCTACAGCTTCCCATAGCTTAGGGTCTCTACAGCTTCCCATAGCTTAGGGCCTCTACAGCTTCCCATAGCTTAGGGCCTCTACAGCTTCCCATAGCTTAGGGTCTCTACAGCTTCCCGAATCCCATAACTTAGGGTCTCTCCATGTCTAAATCAAGCTCTGTTCATAAGTACTAATTTTATGTGTGGATGTGTGTGGGCGCGCATGCCCGTGCAAACCTACCAAAGCTCTAACGTCAACAAGGACGATGATAATAGTTTCCAACTCCCACTCCCACTCCCACTCCCACTCACCCCATCCTCACTTGTCTGGCATTGTTGCCCTGCGGGAACTGCAGTTCCAGGCTACGTCACGACGAGGCACGGCAGCCAGCAGCGGTCGTCGGAGGACGAGGTTGGAGGCCAGTCGCCACAGGCAAGTTTCCTACAGCCTGGCCAGAGACGCAACCCCTCGCACTCGTCCCTACTGCAGCGAGCCGGCCAATACTGAGAGGTCGTCGTCACGCCAAAGGAGTCGTGTCGTCGTCGTGACGCCGAGGAGTCTTGTCGTCGTCGTCACGCTTGAGGAGTCGCGTCGTCTTCACGCCAGAGTCGCGTCGTATTCACGCCAGATTCGCGTCGTCTTCACGCCAAGGGAGTCGCGTCACCATCGTAACTCCAGAGGAGTCTCCTCCTCCTCCTCGTCACGCCAGAGAAATCGGAGCGTAGTATTCACGCCAGGGGAGTCGCGTCCTAATCGTCCCTCCAGAGGAGTCTCCTCCTCCTCGTCATGCCAGAGGAGTCGCGTAGTCGTCAATCGTCACGATTCGTCTACCACGTCTACCACGATTCGTGGTCAGATTGCGCATACGATATGATTTTATAATTGGCTTCGATGAATTGTTAGTGACAGTTTTGAGATGCGTTCTGGTTTTGGAAGATCGCTTTATGTATTGTTGCTTAATACATCCAACTACTCTGCAGAATTGTGGTCTAGAAAATTGTGGTTGTTTGCATTTGAAAGCAATTTCAAATTAAGACCAGTACATTTTAGTTTAATACGTTAAACGTTTCATTGTTATTCACACGTTAGTCAGCAGGCAAAATTGTCATTTGTTATTTAAGATCCCGTTAATTGTTTTTTAAAAACAGCATCAAGTTTTTATCTTCATTGTTGGCATTGCACAAGAGTTGTCCAGCCAAATGCCGATACCTATGGCGTTGTTAGTTAGGAATTGATTGCTCCAGTAAATGCTTCATTATACTGTTGCAATTGTTCCAAACACGCATTTGTGAAAACTGGTTGCACTAATTTGTGACGCAGTTAGGTGAGAAAGTATTGACATATCAATCATACTCTTGGTTAAATGGTTTTTACGTGCCTCTGTATACAGTTTAAATATGGCTTTTTGTCAGACCCTTTGATCGCAATTATGATCGATTCATTGTTAATGGCGATATATTTAAATACTCATTAAAGAGTAAATCTGGGAAATTGTAGTTACGGCCACTAAAGTGAGCTGATGAATAAATGCTTGGTTTATAACAGCTATACCTTTTATAAGGATTGTAAGTATCCTTCAAAAAGGTATAGCTTCAATAATGTTCATAACCTTTGCAATTAACTTGTGTACGTTATTGTACTGTCCCTGGAACAGGTCTACGATGAAGGAGTTGTTTCGCTGCCGGTAGATACTCCACATGTCGTGCGCAGCTTCCGCATCCGAACGCTCGGCCTGGTCCTCGGGATTCACCACGTAGGGCTTCTTCTTAACACGGTTCAAGTCCTGCCAGAGGGAAGGAGAGGGAGAGGGTTAGATCCCTGCCGAAGAAAGAAACCCACAAGAAGGGAACCCACAAGAAGGGATCGCACAAGAATGGAACCCACAAGAAAGGAATCCATAAGAAAGACACCCATAAGAAAAGAACCCACAATAAAAGGAACCCACAAGAAGGGAATCCACAAGAAGGAAACAAACAGACATGACTTCCGACGAAAAGGCAAACTAAAGTTTTGCATTCCGCTTCCGATATTTTCTTGCTTCCCACCAGCTCCATCTTGTGACGATTGAGGATGAGAGGGCGTACCCCGTGCAGTCACCAGCTCCACCTGGTGGACGAGAGAAGACAAGAGAACGTACCTCGTGCAGTCCGTCGAGCAGAAAGGCCATAAACTCCTGCGCGTCGTGTTGAGCGAATCCCGTAAATTGGTTCGCCTTCAGTGAGACCAGGTGCTGTAACATGCACACACACAGATTACAGGACAGCGATGCTACCTGCCTTGCCCCGCGTGCCCACACTGCAGTGTACAGACATACCCCACGCCCCACTCCTACTTCCCAACTCACTTCCTAGAGCTACACGACACTTCCCAAGCCAGTACATGAGCCGGCTAATCAGGCAGATTGTCACAATTTCGGGGGCAGTATATTTTCAGTTATATATACTATAATTATGTATGTATAATTATATTTACATACAATTATATTTACATACGATATATTTATTATATATTTAGCAACGTACTTCTTTCTACAGTATATGCAGAATGAACATACTTCCACAGCTTTCTTCCATCGCCAAAGAACATCGATGTTTAAAAGTACAAACCCATGGACCGAACAGAAGCATTTGCAGCAAGTAAGTGAGAGCGGGGGGGGCAAGAACGTGGCGGCTGCATTGTCAATGAGCGACCCTTAAGGTTATGGTAAAAGTTACAACTACACACACACACACACACACATACGCACGCGCTCACGCACACACACACACACACACACACACACACACACACACACACACACCACACACACGCACACCAGCACGACGCACGCAACGCACGCACGAACCACGCCGAACGCACGCGAACGCGACGCACGCACACACATCACACACACACAACACCACTACAGACCATTGCAGGTAATCTCCTACTTAACGTATACAAAAGTTAATTGCAAAGGTTATGAACATATGAAGCATATCGCTTTTTTGAAGAGATACTTAGCAATCCCTTAATAAAAGGTAATAGCTGTTATAAAACCAAGAGCAATTTATTCATACATCTCACTTAGTGGCCGTAAACTACTGAAATTTCCAGATTTACTCTTTAATGGAGTAATTTAAAATATATCGCCAATTAACAAGAATCGATCATAATTGCGATCAAAAGGTCTGACAAAAAGCCATATTTTAACTGTAAATACAGAGGCTACGTAAGAAACCATTTAAGACCAAGAGTTTATGATGATATGTCAATAACTTTCTCAGCTCTAACTGCGTCAACAAATTAGTGCAAAGCCGAGTTTTTTTCACCAAATGCCGGTGTTTGGAACAATTGCAACGTATAATTAGAAGGCAATTACTGGGAGCAATCATTCGCTAACTAACAACTGCATAGGTATGCGGCATTTGGCTGGGACCAACGTTTGTGCAATGGCAACAGAATGAAGATCAAAACGTGGAATGCTGTTTTTAAAAAACCAAAATTAACCGGGAAATCTTAAAATCAACAAATACCAATTTGGTTGCCTGCGACTAACGTGTGAATTAACAATGAAACTTTCAACAGTATTAAACATAAAAATGTACTGGTCTAATTGAAATTGCTTTCAAATGCAAAACAACCACCAATTTTCCTAGACGCACAATTCTGCAGGGAGTAGATTTTGATATTAAAAGCAAAACAATACATAAAGCCGATCTTTCAACAAACCAGAACGCATTCCAAAAACTGGTCACTTAACAATTAATCGAAGCCAATTAAAAATCATATCGTATGCGCAATCTGAACCACGAATCAGTGGTCAGACGTGGTAGACGAATCGCGTGACGATTGACGATCTACCGCGACTCTCTGGCATCGACGAGGAGGAGGAGACTCCTCTGGAGGGACGATTAGAGCTGCGACTCCCTGGCGTGATACACGCTCCGATTCCTCTGGCGTGACGAGGAGGCGAGAGGAGAACTCCTCTGGAATTACGATGGGACGGCGACTCCTTTGCGTGAAGAGCGAAGCGCGAATCTGGCGTGAATACGACGGGCGAGCTAACTGGCGTGAAGACGACGCGACTCCTCAAGCGTGAACGACACGACAAGACTGATCCTCGTCGTCACGAACTGACGACACACTCCTTGGGCGTGCGACGACCTCTCAGTATTGCCGCGTCGCTGCAGTAGGGACGAGTTGCGAGGGGTTGGCGTCCTGGCCAGCCGTAGGAAAACATTGCCTGTGGCGACTGCCTCCAACCTGCGTCCCTCCGACACCGCTGCTGGCTGCTCGTGCCCTCGTCGTGACGTAGCCTGGAACTGCAGTTCCCGGCAGGGCAACAATGCCAGACAAGTGAGGGATGGGTGAGTGGGAGTGGGGAGTGGAGTGGAGTTGGAAGCTATTATCACGCCTTTGTTGACGTAGAGCTTTGGTAGGTTTTGCACGGGCATCGCGCGGGCCCACAGCACAATCCACACATAAAATTAGTACTTATTAACAGAGCTGATTTAGACATGGAGAGACCCTAAGTTATGGATTCGGAAGCTAGTAGAGAACCCTAAGCTATGGAAGATGTAAGAGGCCGCTAAGCTATGGGAAGCCGTAGATACCTCTAAGTATGAAGCCGTAAGAGGGCCCTATCTGGCGCAATTTTCTAACATGGCAGACTTTTCTCCGGCTCTGTGCAGCAGCAAAGGGCTTAGTAATTAGATAAAAGAGCTAGGACGCCAGAGCTGGCACCCAATCGCCTAGACAGGTGAATAATGACCTAGTGAGAGAACTGACGAAAATTCAGACACTAGTCCAATGCACATATATATATGCAGTGAATAAGTATAACGAATGCATATTGTCATTTAATGATAATTAATAATCAGAGCTGAAACTATTTAAGCATTAATATTATAAAATCATACTCATACTTTTATACTTATACTATAGAATTAGTAACTAGTTTAGACTGTAGGCCTAGTAGTACCTAGTCAGACTCTATTACTATACTATTAGTAATTACCTACTATTAGTATTGACGTAATTATTATTCACAAGCAAAATAGCATTACACCAACTCCATGCAGCTCACTTCACTCTACAGACTGACACTATATTATTATACTATAGGCCTACAGTGCTAATATTTGTTTTGTTAGCAAGTTTGCTAATTCTTGTTCTATCTATGGTCGGCACCCATGTTCATGTTCGTCGCTTGTGCCATGGCTTTTTTTCCTAATTAGCGCTTTATACGCCGCTAGTCCACGCTTTTCACTAAATAAATACATACTATGAGAAAATCTTTGAGAACTAATTGCGCAACATTTGGTTTTGTTCAGTTAAGACAAGCTTGCTCCACGCTTGCTGCACGCCAGACCGCTTTCCAATACAGCTGTTATTATTATATTTACCAATTCGAGATTCACTACGAAGATTCACAGCCGAAATCGCGGGAACCTCGTCAACATATGATGGCGCGGGAACGCGCCTTTGCAGGCCACACTGCAGCATGGCGCTTTTGAGTTGTACGCGGAGCTTGTTATTGTATAGTTATGTTGACATACCTTGTAAATACAAAAGTAAGTTAGTTTTCGTGAACTAATAATCTTATCTTGTGTTTTTCACCGGTTGTTGTTAGTATTATGCTGGCGATTGAAGCCGTACGTAGCTAAATTACTTTTGATGGTAACCATGGCCGTGACTTTTCTGTTGACTGTGTGTTTGGACGAGCCAGTAAAAACTAAAAAATATGAACGATGGCACATTCAACAGAGAAACTACCCGTTTAAACTCCACTAGTAGAATTGTGTCAGCTGTATATCGAGTTGCTTTCACAAAAACTCAGCGCGACAAGCATATAAACACAAACGGTAACGTAAAAACCAATGGGACGTTACATAAATGTGTTGGCTGTTGGCCTTCCTGCGACGGTAACCGTCGCGATATTTTCTCTTAGAATCACGGTCTGACGTACTGACGCCTGATGTGGTTGAGCGTTGTTTTTGCTTGCGATATACATAGCACATCCACGAAATTTTAATATTCAATATGTGCGCAGCAGCGCACGGGTAGAAGCGCTGCCGCCAAGTAATGGAATGGTCCGCGGGATCTGAATCCATCCGTTTTCTAATTTATTTCCTGTTTTCATGTATTTCCTAGTCTTATCTGTTTAACATTTTTTTTTCAATTACGCAAATATTAAACATTATTTATTTACAACATTTAATAACAACAATTAATTTTTACAACACTTAAAAATTAAAATTTTATATTTAATAGAGTAGGGTTAAAGGGTTTAGGTTAGGGTTAGGTAGGGTTAGGGTTAGGGTTGGGTTAGGGTTAGGGTAGGGTTAGGGTTATCGTATATATCGTATAAAATCGTATATATAATACGTAACAACAAGCAACGGTAGTTATTATTCGCAGCGAAGATGGCGCTGGCATCACTACCGTTAGTGAAGAGAAAAAATTCGGCCGACGGTACGTCGCAGGAGCAACAAGCCAAATGTGTTAGTCGTAAGGAAATTGTATTGGATGTAAATGATGCATTGGGTTTTATTGGCACAAGTGGCTATTAGATACAATAATGGTAAGCCCAAACTCAAGAGGAATAGGTTTTACAACGCGAGCGCTCCATACTTTTGGTGCGGGGAGGAATGTCCGATGTGAATGCACTCGGGCAGGTTTGCTGGTGTATTTCAGAGACTAGAACTTGCCCAACTGGGTTTATTCTCAACAGCGAAAGCCTTTCTCCGCTATCTTGGGAACTTACTATGTATCGCAATACTGGCTGTATTAAACTAATATAACCTGTTACATAAAATTCGAAGTGACGAAAGCGGCGAATTTACTGAGCGCCATATTTCTGTTGACTCTGTTGACGGTACTTCGTTGAAGAGCCGTTCAGCCGACCATCGGAGGCGCTGCGTTTGGCCGATCGCTATGCGCGATTGGGAAATGCGTACGTCACAGGTCAACAGAATGGCGGCTCAAGTAAACATTTCCCGGCTCGTCCACTTCGAATTTTTGTAACAGTTAATGATTCGTTTAATAGCAGAGTATTGCGATACATATAAGTTCCAAGATAGCAGAGAAAGGTTCGTGTTTTGAGAGTAAACCGCGTTTGGAAGTTCTAGTCTTCTGAAAATACACCAGCAAACCTGCCCGATGAATTGCACTTGGGCATTCCTCCGCACAAAAGTATAGGGCTCGCGTTGTAACCCTATCCCTTGGGTTTGTTACATTATTGTATCTAAGTTGGCTAAGCCTGCCGGCAGCCGCGATATGACAGCTGCCGGGCACGGTCTTACGATTCCTAAATGCCCGGCAGTTTTTTAATTTTTAGCCGTTATCTCAAGTAAACAAGGTTAGGTTAGAGTTAGATAGGGTTAGGGATCCTAGGGTAGGTTAGGGGGGCTAGAGTAGGGTTTTTGTTAGGTTTAGGGTTAGGGTAGAGTTTTAGGGTTAAGAACTACTGCCAGGCATTTAGGAAAACAAGACCTGTGCCCGCTGCCGGGCATGATAGCGGCACAGCGTTATTGGACCCATGTTGGCTC